ATAGAATTTGGGAGAGTACAGCTATCTGTCTCCGTATATACGGCCTACCTAAGGCCCACAAACCGGACCTACCTTTGAGGCCAGTAGTACCGAACATAACGAGCCCCACATACGAAATTTCCAAATTCGTCAGCAACATCCTACAAACCGCCATACACAGTGAGTACATCATTCGAGACTCGTTCACGTTTGCGACAGAAATCCGACAGATGAAAATCCTGGAGAATCACTGTAAGGTACAAGCGATTAAAGAAGAGTGGTCTGAAATAAAGAAACATACCATGATCAACGTGTATCTGTTCCTGGAAATTGTGACATTCTGCCTGGACAATAGTTTTTTTCATGTTACGGTCTCAATACTATGCACAGAAATTCGGTACAGCCATGGGGAGCCCACTGGCACTGTCGCCAATCCTGGCTGATATGGTGCTCAACAAATTGTTAGTGATAGTAGTTCAGGATCTAGGATTTCCAGTTTCATTCCTAAGGAAATATGTGGACGACTTCTTTTTGGTTCTACCACAGGAAAAAGTTCAGTCTACACTGGATGCCTTCAACAACTACAATGTACATCTTCAGTTCACTGTAGAAGAAGAAAACAACAGACGGCTGCCCTTCTTGGACATGACCGTTACAAGAGAAATGGACCAATCGCTATCAACTGAACTGGTACAGGAAACCGATAGCCTCAGGGAGATTGCTCTTACTCTCTACATCCGATGCAGCAAAACGTCAACGTAATCATGAACTTTACGAAACCTGTTATGAAACTAACATCGAGCCCGGATAACCAACGAGTTAAGCAGAATGTGCACTTCCATCTTCGACGAAACGACTATCCCACAACACTGATTAATCACATCGTCAACCGTGTTATCAATGACAATACCAATATTGGAATCAATTGGTCTTAATTTCGTTAATTCTTGAATCTATTTTTGGAATGTCTGCCTCTTCGTGTAAATTTGTTATTCTAGTGTCGAAAAGACGATCGAGGATTATCCTAAGCACTCTGCTTTGTGCCAACTGGACTTTGTTCCTGTGAGTTTGAGCACTTTATTCCCACACCGGTGCAGCGTAGAAAATTGCATGTGCTATGATTTGATTGTAGACTGTAAGATACGCGAGAATAATGACGTTTATTCATCAAAGTATATCATATAGCAGGTATGCTCACATAAGGTGTACATAGGTAGTAGTGTTTACAGAATAATCATATATGTCACATCATCCCTCTTTTAGCAATTAATAATAATCAAAATCGATTTTCTTGTTGTTCTTTACCAGTCTACCTGATCTAGTTTCATAACGTGGGTTTGAACTACCTTCTTCTGGGTCAGCCTCAACCACTATATCCTGGTTAACTTCATTATCCGTTTCGGCATCTTTTTGTTCAGAGGCAGCCGTTTGTGGACCATTAACGGGATCCGAAACCTGTATTTCCAGTGGTGGATTGTCCTTGCTTTGCATAACATCAAATTTCCTTTCTCGGATGTGCTGGGTGTTTCTCCTAAAGGTCCGTTCTCCGTCTGATAATAGGTATGACCGGTTAGATCCAAACTTCCTCAATACCTCGCCGGGAAACCATTGCTTCGATTTGGGATCTTGAATCATGACTCGATCACCTTCTTTATACTCGGAAGGATCTCGTGCACCACGATCAGCGTAAGCTTTTTGTATCTGTCTTTCCTTGCAGAGTGCGTCTCTTACACCTTCAATTACTCTAGGTTTCAAGACCTCTGCTGTCATAGGCAACGTTGAGCGAGTGAGACGACTCATTAGGCGCTCATTTGGAGATGGGATGTTATCGCTTCTTGGAGTATTGCATGCAACCTGTACAAATCTTTCCGCCAGTCCATTGGAACGTGGAAAATGCGGGCTTGACGTGCGATGTTCAAATCCCCAGTCTTTCGAAAACTTCCGAAACTGTTGTGAGTTGTATTGAGGTCCATTGTCTGACTCCAAAACTCGTGGAATACCGTGCGTAGCAAACCAATTCTTCATAATATCGATTACTTCATTGGACGTTGATCGTGACAGCTTCTTAAAATCGAAAAAGTTTGACCAGCTATCCACGATCAAAACGTACTCCTCTCCTCGAAAGTAGAACAAATCTGACGCCACTCGCTCGAAGGGTAGCTCAGGAACCGCTTTCGTCTCAATAGTACTTTTCTGATTGCAGCGCTGATGCTGTTGACATACGCTGCAGCATTCTACCATATCTTGGATATCTCTGCTCATGTTGACCCGAAATAGCACTTGCTTTGCTCTTCGGATACAGTTTTGGACTCCTGGATGTCCACTATGAACCGCTTGCAACATACTCTTCCTCAGCGACTTAGGAATCACAATCTGATTCGATTTGAAAACGAGACCTTCGTACGCTGTCAGTTCATCTCTGAAACCCCAATATTTCCGGAGTTCGGGTGCCAAATCCTCGTGATTACCTCTCACCCCAGCAGACCCCCTTGTACCCCTACTTCCAGTTTGATTACATGAGCATTTTGTGTGATCGTTGGTTCTGCATATGGACTGAGATGAATTCTATTCCTACCTGCAGACACCGCCACGGTGAGCCAGACGACGGATGGTCGTTATCTCGAAGAATTTGCGTTTGGTTCTGAATATGGCGATGAGTGTGCAAAATATTACGCAATTCCATCCTCCCTATTCGCACGCGCCCGAGGATCGGAGGCGAATGCCACTTCGACTTGTTTCGTCTACTTACTACTCTCTGACGACTGTGCTGGGGAAGCAGCATATACATGTAGGTAATTGGTGGATTTGTTAGTTAATTCAACGCTTTTGGACAATGCTGGACATTAACAGTTTTTCAATAGTTTCTTGTTGAAAATCAACATTTGTTATCGATGCGTAGCCATATTTCAGATCGATTGGTGATAAAATTATTGAAATTGGACCAGGGGCAGCTGAGTTATTAACGTTCAAAATCTTTCTTAATTTGTCACATGTTCCATTTTCGGTTTTCACAAAGTGTACCCCCATATAGAAATCAAAGACGTAGTCCTACGTCAAATAAAAAGTTAGAGTTACAATGCTAAATGTTCAATGTATTAATTTTAAATAAAACTTGTAGATACCCTGAAGAAGGCCAAGTCCCAAGGCCGAAACGTCGGACATAAAACATAGTAGCGTTTTGACTATCCGTTAGACTGAAAAGCCGTTATCCTTACAATAATTTCTACTGCAGTCATTTCCGAATTTGAGTTAAATATATTACTCACGAAGTTACTTCAAGATCCTCAGTACTTCTTTTAAAACAATAAAATTTGAGAAACATTAATTGATGTAAAAAATATTTAGAATATACTTTTAAAAAAAAACTATCAATGTTACCTCGTTTTACGGTACTATGGATTCCATTGATAAGGGGAGACACAATTAGGTTCTGCAGCGTGACGTCACAAATGAACTCAGTGTTAAACGGCTGAACCTTTTTGACAGTTCAGTGGTACTGTTTACAAGCACTTAGTCGTTTTTTCGAAAAAAAATTTCTAAAGTTTCTGAATTTTAACTTGAAAATTGTCGAGGAACAGCGCGTTGCAAGGATGTTGCTCGCAAACATTGCAGAAATGCTGTTTACATCTCACTGCAGTCTGAAAAATTATCGAGAAAATCCACCCAAGAAAAAATCGACTAAGTCCACGTAAACAGTACCACTAAACTGTCATCAGATTGAGGTTAACCCCGACGGTGCAAAACCTAATAGAATGTAGCCAAACGAACTGTCAGTTAGTGTAGCCAAACGAGCATGACGTTCAGGCAAATGCTTATCGTATTCGACATAATGACCCAATTAAATTCATCGCCGCGATTAAAGATTTCGAAGATCAAAACACCCCTAAAATCTCGATGTAGGCTTTATTTACGGAGATAGTCGTGATTACCCCTAAACTGTCCACATGGTATTTTGGAAGCTAGTCCAAATTGATTTAAATTGTCTTCGTGTTTGACAAAATCGTATTTATTTCCATGCAGTGGTATTGAAACTGCCCCGCTATGCATCCCTTTCCCGCTTTTTCAACCTTGAACATGCTTCGTTTCTCAAACTCGTTTGCATCAAATCTGGTGCTTCACACTCGTCCTACTGAAGAAATTAATTGAAAAGGACGTCGACACCTAGATTTTTTCCCTGCTGCTGCAACCAGAAGCCTGCAACCGTGATCAACACTTCCCACCGCATGTATCAACCTTCCATGGGAGGTGCAGCAGCGGATATAGTTTTACTCCGTTTCATCGGCAGACTGACACGTTGTTGACTTATTATAGCGACCCAAAATAAACCACAAACAAAACATTACTTGGAGGGTATCACTTACTACTGTGGGCTGATCAACTTCCACGGTTTGTGGTCGCCTCTTCTACGATACAGCAAATCCAGTTAAATTGTTTTAATAGGTTTCACATTGAATGTGGCCACTCGGTGGCATCATGTTGGTCATGAGTTGACCGTGAGTATGGCTGGTTACTCCGTTCTAGGGTTTGGTTACATCAAGTTAGTAGAAGAACATGATTGATTCCGTCCAGTAGCATGTTACATGAGCTGTATGAGGAATGAGTGCGATGTAAAAATCGACAAGTGTCAGTTTGCGGTTTAGGGTTTGAACTCAGCCCAAAACCAGTTCAATCGGAGAAACATTTCCAGCCACGTGACGGCGATAAGTGATTAGTTGAAACATATCATTTGGCAACCATCAATCGATTACCAATCTTGACCGCAATAAACAATAGCATTAAATTGACGGTGCATTTGCCCACTAATGATAACACTTGTGTATTGTATTAATTTCAGGTTAGGTATGGTGACACTCAATTATGACACCGCTCTGCAATCAAACAGTGCAACTCGTTAATTAAACTATCAAAACAAACAATCGCCCGCAATGACACAGCATGATTCTCCGCATATAAAGACCTGGCAATTGTCGCCTCCACGGCTCAGATGCTCAAGTTGGATCATGGAGCCCTACTCGGCGGAACGTTAGAGTGAAACATCAAAACAAAACAAAATCCGCTAAGTATGAAGAAACGCTATGAAAGATTTACGGATTGTGACACTGGTGGTCGCTGTTCTGCTGATGGAAACACTCTACCCAAGCGATGCCGCGGTAAGTGTGGATGCTGATGGTTTTCTTCCGGAGTTAAATGAACGCGAAAATATTTTCCCCCGCAGATGACGATGAAGCAAATCAACGAGTCGATGGAAACGATGAGAAGAGCTTGTGCCCCGAAGTTCGACCTTCCCGAAGGTACGTACCCTCTGTAGCAAGGAGCAAAACTTTGAGTTAGTAAAACATAACAATGAGGATAATTTCAGCAAGCCTTAACGATCTTAAAGCGGGAAACTTCCGTCCGGATGCCGGTAAGGAATTGAAATGCTACGCAAAGTGCATCGCCCAGATGGCAGGAACGGTAGGTTAGCAATAAGGTTCAGCACCGTCGGGGTGAACCTCAATCGGATGACAGTTCAGCGGTACTGTTTACTTGGACTTAGTCGATTTTTTCTTCGGTAGGTTTTCTCAAAAAACAATCAGACTGCAGTGAGATGTAAACCACACTTCTGCAATGACCGCGAGCAACATTCTTTCAACGCGCATATCCTCAGCAGTTTTGAAATTTAAATTCGATGTTTTTTTTAATTAAAAAAAACTGAAGTGCTTGTAACCAGTACCACTGAACTGTCAAGAAGTTCATTAGATGAACATGAAGTTCATTCGTGAGTTATTCATGAAAAAAAAATTGACATTTGAGCCGTGCCGTGTTTACTAAAAATGAACACATGACGTAATGCTCGCGTAATTTAGGTTGCCACAAATGGGAATGCTCGCGTAACTTAAAAAAGAGCCTATCAACTTTTATAAACAATTTGTTAGACCTTTTCACGCGAACCGAAGAACTCTCACGCAAACCAAGAGCACTATCGGGAAGGGGAGAATTTACCCTACCCAATGGCGTTGTTGGTTTGCGTGGGTGTATTGCGGTTCGCGTGAAAAGGACTTAACAAGTTGTTTATAAAAACTTATAGGCCCTTTTCTAAAGTTACGCGAGCATAAAGTCATGTGCTCATTTTTAGTTAACACGCACACTTAAAAATACCTAATTTTACACGTGACGGAATCCATCTTTGACATAAAGGATGAGACGTAAACAAACATGTCATGTAAAATTAAGTGCTCCGAGACTGAAAAGTTCGTTGCTCGACGAAAAGTACGTTTGAGCTGAATTTCGCGTCTATTATGACTCAATTTTATGTCAAAATTGACGCTCGTATATGTCAGTCTCAGAGCACCTAAATTTACATGAATTTTTCTAAGTGTGCGGCACCGCTCACACGAAAGTTTTTTTTTATGAGTTCATTCCGTACATTGACGAGTGCACCGATGGATTTGAGTTCACTCACTCGAGAAAAAGTGACACAAGCTGCGGGCAATATTTACTAATCATGAACACTAAATGTTCATGAATAATGAATAATAAACAATCAGTGTTCATGATTAGTAAACATTGCCCGCAGCTTGTGTCACTTTTTCTCGAGTGAGTGAACTCAAATTCATCGGTGCACTCGTCCATTGGTTAATTAGGTACTGCAGCGTGACGTCACAAATGAACTCAGTGTTAATCGGCTGAACCAGTGGTACTGTTTACAAGCACTTAGTCGTTTTTCCAAAAAATATATATACACACTTAAAAAGAACTAATTTTACTCGAGACGTAATCCCTCTTTGACGTAAATTATGGAACGTAAACAAACATGTCATGTAAAATTAAGTGTTCTCAAACCGAAACATACGCAACTCGACGAAAAGTACGATGGATTGAATTTATTTTCTCGTTTCTTTCAACTGATTCTTATGCCATTTGGGCCGCTTGCATGTGTCGGTCTCAGGGCACGGAAATTTACATGACTTTTTGGTAGTGTGTATTTTAAAATTTCCGAATTTTAACTTGAAAATTGTCGAGGAACAGCGCATTGAAAGGATGTTGCTCGTGGACATTGCAGTCTGAAAAATTATCGAGAAAATCCACCCAAGAAAAAATCGACCAAGTCCACGTAAACAGTACCACTGAACTGTCATCAGATTGAGGTTAACCCCGACGGTGCAAAACCAAATAAGGTAGAGAAGGGCGTTTATGAAACGATTCGAATTGTCTTCCCACGCAGCTCACCAAGAAGGGGGAGATCAGCTTCTCGAAAACGACAGCCCAGATCGAAGCGTTGCTGCCAGCGGAACTGAAGGCAGGAGCCAAGGAGGCACTGAAAGCCTGCAAAGATGTGCGTAAGTATAGTGAAAGAAACTATTTGTTTGTCGAGATAAAATGACTAAATGGGAATGGTTTTTTTTTTTAGATTCTGGGTACAAGGACAGCTGCGATAAAGTATACTTTTCTGTGAAATGTGCAGCTGACTTCAATCCGGACATATTTATTTTCCCGTAACAGACGACAACTTTGGCCAACGATTAAGGATTTTGAATTGAGGATTTTGTTTTAATGTGATTGGTGATTACAATGTATGTTTGTTAGAATTTGCACTAGAATAAGATGCTATGTATTTATGCGAATAGAAATAGATCAGACTAGATCTCCACGGCTAATATTGCAATGCAACAATGTAGCCGTAACTGATATGCTTACAACAAGACATTTGAATTCCTGTGAAATTCTACCCTTTGGAGAGGCGACACGCATGTTCCTGTCTTAACACAGCATTGAAATCACCAATGCTGCTTTCAGGAAATATAGGCTGAGGATCGTTTCAGGTACAATGTCCATTGCACGCGATCTTTCTCTTTCTCCGAACGGCACGAGTGGATGCAACGATTTAAGAATCCTGCTGACAGTGACATGTCGCGATGGACACTCTCTCGCAACTTGGTGCTTGGTGGGATACCGTTCGCGGATGATGACGACGATGCATCTTCCGACGCTGCTGGCTAGTGGTTCACATTGCTGGCATTGGTCTCGGGTTATTCCAACTGCAGTGCCAAACAGCGTGATTATAACTGTAATTTACGCTTTCTTCCTCGAAGATTTGACTTTTCGTCAGCGGCCAGAGTTATTTTACCCTGCCCAAGCGTTTGTTCTGAAAAAAATGCGGTACCATTTGAATGAATCTTAGGCATCGGGATCAAAATTTGTTATATGATCCGTTTTTGGATCTATTTCTTTAATCCAAAACAGAAATAAAATCGAGAAAATTCCTGCCCTTATCGATGATTTGTATGGGTTTGTAGTCGACACATTTTCTGTGATAATTGACTGCCTTTGCTTCCGACATTCGCAAAACAAGATATCAAATAACAGCACCAAACTTAAATGTCATATGACAGGCTCTGTCATACGACATTTTTGCCGAAGACCGTCACGAATGTATGTATTTTAGTTTTTTCTCATAATAAGAGCTGCTGATGTTGTGCTTGTGTGAATTCTGAAAATAGCAAGGAACGATGTCCTAGTAATAGCATTTCTGATCAGAAATGATTTAATTTACACCAAATTGAGGAATTAGAACAAAATCTCACATGATAGTTATTTGATCATTTTATTTTTGCTCGAATGTTGTTCTACCGTTTGTGTTGTGTAAGAGAGACAACGGTAGAGCATGAAAGTACGAATACAAACAGACTGTCGCGCACGACAACGAAGCGAATGTAGTAAAAAACGTCAAATTTTTTTTTTGTAAATTTTTGTTTCAAGGTAGTTCATGGAGGGTTAAAAGAAGAGGGTAAATTTAAGGTTGCAAAATTTCACCTTCGTGGTGGTAAATCGAAGAAAAGGCTCTTTATTGAATATAACTGGTGTAAAAATATCATGGTACATGGAGGGACTACTCAATATGAATAAGTCTGGTGGAAAAATTTAACCATGCCAAAAAATTTGGAGGTGCACATTTAACTGAAACTTTATGGTGGAAAGTTTGCAACACTGTGGTGAATGTAGGAGCAAGGTTTATTCTTTTTTTCTGGTGCATAATTTGCATCGTTCTGATGAATGCGAGCTTAATTGAAAATTTATGGTGGAAAATTTGCACCATTCTGGCATGAAGAGGCAAAGTCTAAAAATTGCACCACAACTGTGCATGGTAAAACAAACTTCACTGACAATTTTTGGTGCACCGTTCTGGTGAATGGAGGAGCATGCTTTATTGAAAATTGCTGGTGAAAAATTGCATCCTTCTGCTGAATAGAGAAACAAGCTTTTATAATATTTTTTGCTACATTCTGATGATTGGAGGGAAGCTGCTTTACTGAAAATTTATGATGAAAAATCTGAAAATAGGGGCAAGCTTTGTTTGGTGGGAAACCTGCAACATTCTGATGATAGGAGAAGCAAGCTATTTTGAAAATGTCTGATGGAAAATGGAAAAAGGAAATCTGCACCAATCAGAAGATTGGAGAAGAAATTTTTATTGAACATTAACGTTGAAAAATTTGCATCGTTCTGGTCAATTGAAATTTTCTGGGGGCAAGTTTATGTTGAAAATTTCTGGTGTAAAATTTGCAACAATCTGCTGCATGGAGGGGCAAGCTGAATTGAAAATTCCTGATTTAAAAAATGCACAGTTCCAAAATAATTGGAATGGAGGGGCAAGCTTTATTGCACATTTCTGGTAGAAAAAAAACTACAACGTTTTGGTGAATGGACGGAAAACTCATAGTTGAATTCCGAGAAGAACCTCAAGGGTATTGAATTCTGAGGACAGTTCCATAAGAAAAGATTTCCGGGGATGATTCCATGAAAATTCTGTGAATAATTTCTAGTGAATCCTGCAGATAGTTCCAAAATAATTTCGAAAAGAATACCGATAGAATCAATTTTGAATGAAATTCCAAATGTATGTTAAGGAAAATTTCAAGGAAATTCTGACAATAACTTCAAGCTCATTCTGGGTAGAATTTCTGAAGAATACAGAGGAAATTCTTCTGAAACTTTAGGGGAATTTCAGTTCCAAGGTGTTCTGAGAAAAAAAAAGTTCTTAAATACTCCGAGAAGTTCTGAGAAAAAAATATGAAGGTTTCAAATATAATTCCAGTGGACTTCTCAGATGAATTTCAATAGAGAACTTAGCATAATTCTTAAAAAAATCCGAGAAGAACCTCAAGGATATTGAATTCTGAAGACAGTTCCAAAGGATTTCAGGGGAATATTCCAAGAAAATTCCACGAATAATTTTTAGTGAATCCTGCAGATAGTTCCAAGATAATTCCGAAAAGAATACAGAGAAAATTAAATTTTGAGCGGAATTCCAAAGGGATTTTGAGGAAAATTTCAAGGGAGATAATTTCTAGCTCATTCAGCGAATAATTTGTAACCGTTCTGTTACAAAGGTCCAATACAATATTTTAAATATGCACCATGTGATCGAGCATTCAAATAAATTTAACACTTGCGGTGAAACCCACTGGGCAAACGATACGGCCATGCTTAACGGGCGACTGCTGAATAAGGCGCTCATGGCCGCGGCAAAATGGTGACACGGAGTCACTGGTGAAGGGTTTTGCGATGCTTATAGAACGGCCATCGTTCACTTTATCTCAGGCGAGCGTGTAGACCAGAAGTGTCTGTGGAGTATACTTTAACAGAATACTAAGCGCGAGTAGTGAATCAAGGTGAAGTGTAAATCACCAATTCATCTGATTCAGGACCTTTTTGCAACCAATCAAATTGTTTTCTGGTTGGCGAGTCAAGGACCGCCATTTTACGCTACGGTCTAGGTGACATTTAGTTACCTTGACCTAAACGTAAAGGACATCGTTTTCGGGCTGAAGGTCCTAAACGCCAAGGAGAATTTCCCTTCCCGGTTCGACAGAGGGTAGCCTTGCCGTCGTCAACCGGCTTCGTCAGAAGGAAGCACCTGTGAATCGGAACCATCTCCACAAACCGCTATACCAGCCCCGGTAAAACCAACAAGACCGACAAGATCGACCTTTAATCTTCCGCCATCGACAGGATCATTCCGGAACCGCAGCGAGCGCTCGCTGGTCTGCAGTCGTCGTAATCGCCATCGTCATCAAGGGTATGTGCCAAGAAAATTGATCACAACACCACACAATCCACACTATCGTTAATTCATTCCTAGTTGAGCATTCAGTCGGTTAACAACGTCCCGGTTTCAGTTGCGCGGCATCTAGTTTTTTTTCGGTGTTTTTTCCGCCCGAGCGGTTTTTTTTCACCCCCCATTGGGTGCCCCAAGTGACCAGTGTCCAACAGAGGAAGTGGAATTCCATCGGCCGAGCCCCTTGGAGTTACCATCCAGCTTTAATTCATCCCGGTAATCCATCACCGGAGTTAACGGCGTCGTCAAGTCCATCATTTTTTCACGCCGTCGCGAGGGTGTGCAAGTGATAGTGAAGCGTGTCGTATCACCAGCTTGCCGACCCACCAACACCAACCATCACCACCGGATAGCAGCGTGGACCAACACCAACGCACCACGTGATAACAGCGTTTCCACACACACGCTTTGTGCCGGTGTAGTTAAGTAGCGAATAAGTTTTATTTATTGCCCCTTTGTTTTAGTTTCCCCTTTGTTTTAGTTTCCCCTTTCTCCCATCCCACGCAAATATTTTCTTCTTCTTCTTCTTTTTCTCTTGTCCCTGTGTGTTCCCTGTGTGTAGTTGTTTTGTATCTATTGCGGTGGCAGTTGCCCCGCAATGGATGGTAATAGTGATGGCGGGGGGAATACCCTTCCTGCCCTTCCCACTGAAGACGAACTGTCCGACGTGGAAACGTCAGCCACGGTGAAGAAGTACACCGGAACCATCCCGAAGCGGCCCAGGCGAAAACGAGCACCGGAGCCCGTACCGCCTACCCCATCTCCTCCTACCCCGCCTAATCCATCGCCACCAACACCACCAGCACCGTCACCCCCCGCACCACCAAACCCGTTTCCCCCTACCCCACCTAATCCCTCTCCCCCCACACCGCCAAAACCGTATCCCCCTACTCCGCCTAACGCCGCCAAGAAAACAAAAACTGCCCCCCGCCATAAGTCATACCCAGACGCCTCGACAGGCCCATGGGTTGTTTTTTTCCGACCCAAACAAAAACCGCTTAACGTTAACCAGATCGAAAAAGATCTATTCAAGCGTTTCTCGTCAGTGACCGACATTTTGAAGGTGAGGCCAGACAAACTGCGCGTCACTGTTGGTAACCGCAAGCAGGCGAATGAGATTGTTGCCTGCGAGCTTTTTACGTTAGAGTACCGCGTTTACATTCCCAGTCGTGACGTGGAAATCGAAGGAGTGGTCACCGAAGCGAGTTTGACCTGCGATGACTTCTTGAAGAGGGGGGTTGGTGTCTTCAAGAACCCCGTTCTTCCAGAAGTCAAGATTCTTGACTGCACCCAAATGCAGTCAGCATCCCTCGACGGGACAAAAAAAATCTATTCGCTGACTGACTCGTTTCGAGTGACTTTCTCCGGATCGACTCTGCCGGATTACGTCCGAATTGGGAGGATTCGACTTCCTGTGCGGTTGTTTATACCAAGGGTGATGAACTGCACCAAGTGCAAACAATTAGGCCACACCGCCGCCTTCTGCGGCAACAAGCCACGATGCGATCAGTGCGGC